CAAAAACAATAATAAAGGAGGATTGTGTTCCATGGACTCTTGTATCAAGTTGTTTTAATTTTTTTCGGCACGATATACCTGGGCTGGTATCAGATACTTCGTGGTTGGTACATCCACTAGTTTATTAGTAATTTTGTACATCATGCACAGTCTGGACATTCTACGTCTGTCTTCCAGTGACCCCCACTGTAGGTTTCTCTTCATTTCCGTTACAATAGCACCCCTTTAATAGTTGTTCGTGCAGAATCTTGAAGCTTGGATCTGTACCCTTTCCAGTTTATCTTTGTGTTTCTTTGTATATGGATCCCATACTGTCGCGGCATATTCTTCGCCCAATGTACAAACGGTGCCACAACTGCAGGGAGGTTTTGTGCCCTTTTGTCTCTTGTTTCACGGATGGAATCGTCATCGGATAGTTTGCGGGTGATTTGAAAGCCCACGAACATGGCTGAAGAAACGTAGGCCAAAGAGACCGCTCACAGAGTGCATGCGCATGTGATTGACGCACCGTGTAGGCGGGAACCATGGGGGGCAGTTGGCTGTTGGTGGCTCCAAAAGCCTCACAGGCATCATTTACCTTTTGCAGGCATTTGCCGGAACAAAGATAAGGCTGGTGTCACTGGTGTATTATTCAGCTAAACACTTAGATGTAGATGTCTGATAATATGGGGGACAGTAAGCTTCCCTGTGGGACACCATTACTACGGGTAATTACTAAAGCTACCAGACACGGTATTCCCGTGTTTACTGTGTTCAATGTCTAACACTACCTGTATAGTTAGTTTCCTGTACATACATGGCGGTAATACGGCGTAATTTATCTCAATGATGAAAAAAAACTTGCCACAAAGCTGCATAGGTATACAGAGGGCTCAACTCGAGTACTGCGCCTCGGTGTGGGACTCCTACACAGCTGGCGGGTTACAGGCAGTTGGGCGCGTACAACATAGTTTATTTATTTATTCATTCATTTATTTACTAAGGAATCTCCAATTAGTGACATATAACACACCACTACTCTTCCTGGGGTCCTCTCATGACACACATGATAGTATATTAAACATCATATTATTAACTACTATTTACATCTACTTACATGAAACCACTATCAAAGAAAACTTGTATTGTCAACACTAAACAGCATTACATACAAAAAGTTAGGCTAAATATTCATTTGCTAGGTTTGGAAGAGTTAAATACACCTTTAACATCAATGTAACAACATAGGGTAGCCCAGGTGGTCTTGAGCGACTATAGCCGTACCGGTAGTGTGACCGAAATGCTACTAAAACTGCAATGACCCGTCATTGCCGATCGAAAGAGGGAAGCACGTCTGACTACACTTTTCAAAATATTTCACATGCACCTACCCACGGAACAATATCTTAAACCTGCCCAGCGACGTACGTACCAGAGTCAGCCCTAAAATATCATCTCATCCCTGCAGCAAAAGACTGCTTTAATTCTTATTTTCTTTTTCTAGTTCTATACGTATTCGCGAATGGAATGAGTTGCCTGCCCAGGCCATACAGGCTTAGTCAGTAGAGGCCTTCAGGGCTGCATTGCCGTAAGGTCCCTTTCCCCCTCTCAGTGATACCCCTTTCGTGGTTGAGGGTATCAAAGATGAAGATATATGGTACAAACGCTGGTACAATCCTTTAATCCATTTAAAGGCGTAGGAATCCACAAAGGCTTTATTAGTACGTGTTATGTATATCCCCAACCAATCTCTGTCATCTATATAATGAACGAGTCACGAGCAAGAAGTCAAGCGCTAGGTTCAAGTATTTTTCCTTAAATGATGCAACTTCCAGGAAAACGTGTAGTCGGGCTTTCCTTTGGCACGTAGGCTTGTCGCTGTGTGAGGGTCTGCATGGGGGACCCTGGCAACACATAACGGTAAATTTAGGCAGGAGGGCAAATAAAGTTATTCCTGCATAAGGATTTGGAAGTGACTTCTTTGGAATGTTCTTCTGCATGCATGGAGGTTTGGCAAAGCTAGTCTGTGGTATTTTTGGGGCTTTCGACTACGATTAACGAATTCAGGATACGAAATAACGTATTACGTGGAACTTATCTAAAACCTTCTAATTATTCTCCACAAAGAAGTTTAAGACAATGCCTAACGTTGAATTGAAGCGACTTGCTACGCGTAACGGTGAATAGCTATAACGGCTCACCACGCCTCACTGGAAATGACATGCAGACCCTCCTGGATAAACCTCCGTAAATAATTTCATCAGGTTGGTAAACGACTGAATAGCAAAGTTCTTTTTATCAGAACCATTTATTTTTCACTATCCGACGTTTCGATGACCTTCTGTCATCTTCATCAGGGTGCACTATGAACTATGTAACACCTTTAGTGCACTATGCACCAAGTAACATCTAGTGTCAGTGCACAGTAAACCAGTCATCCGAATTGCCCTGATGAAGATGACAAAAGGTCATCGAAACGTCGGCGTGAAGAATAAATAGTTGCGATAAAAAGAACTTTGCTATTTCTCCTTAATAAAGTTCAAAGCGTTGGCCGTGTGACTGTGTGAGGGTAGTTAAATATCACCGGGTACGGGACCTGTAGGTGTGGAGAGGTCCGGAATTAAAGTTCAAAATCTTGGCTGTCTGAAGCTTTTAAAAGACATCCAGTGCAATTCCAGGTGGCAAAACTAATATTGTCAAAATCAATTTTCTGGTCCGTCGATACGGTGAAGGTTAGACATCCAGGCAATACGCCAAAAAGGTACTCAAGCAACTAGGTATGATTCTAGTTTTCAAAATCATGTCCAGTTGCTTGAGTAATTGTTTCTTGGCAATTGTTTGGTCATTGTGTAATAATGTAGTAAGTGGAATACATCATATCCCATACTATACTATACTATACTGATATCTGTAAGACAAAAAATGTGATGTCTCTAAAGGAAAACGAATGTTTGTTTTGCTGGTTCTAGCTATTTATGATTGGTACTCAAAAATTAATTGACACCTCGCGTAGCTTGTTTTCGGACTGTTTCAAATGCTTCAAGTATGAAATGATGACAAAAATGTGCAACGAAATAGCAGTTAAGGTTAATAAGAGAAAGATTTCCTCATCCAGATCACTATTTTTTGCCACCCTAAAATTGCATGCCTTGGGTGCCTTTAAAGATCACCCAGCACGTCGACTACGTCATGTTGATACAATATCACTGGAATCCAGGTCCACACCTGGGCCGCGACACGTTGGATAACTATCCTTGAGGCCGATGCTGGTAAATATCACCGGTCACGAGGCTCGTAGGTGTAGAGTGGGCCTGGATTGACGTTCAACGCGTTGGCTGTGACCAAGGGGGTTATCTATCACTTAAAACTCCTTGCTGTGACAAAGGCAGTGAAAGATTACCAGAACACGAGGCTAGCGGGCTTCCGGAATTCCACGCGGCCGGAATGTTAGTTAAGCTGGCCACACGTGTAATGCCACAAAGAAACATAGACGGGGTCGTGTGGCGTAGCGGCAGAGTGCTCGACTAGGAATCAAGAGGGCCCGAGTTCGAGTCCTGACATGCCACCAATCTTGTGCCCTTGGGAAAGGCACTTAACACGACTTTCCTCACTTCGCTCAGGTGAAAATGAGTATTGTATTGTCCCATGTGTTGGTGGCGGCATTAATATAAGTTGAAAAAAACTTGCCGTCACCACGTCTTGTGATTAGATGTTGGATTAAATCTAAAAAGAAAACAATCTACAATATTTTTCGCAAGAAAATCCATCTTGTTACATTTGGCGACTCTGCTTAGTTACTTTCAACATCAAAGGCATACAATTTCAGAACTACAAAACAAAAATATTTTAGATGAGGAAATCTGTCTGGTACTGAAATTTTGTCATCATCATTTCATACATGAAGCGAATTAGCCCGAAAAAAAGCTACGTGAGGCGTCTATTTACCACCCATAAGTAGCTAGAACCAGCCTACGATACAAAACAAACATCCGGTCACAACCCGCCGTGCGTGCTTTTTGTCAATACGTTTTATTGGGAGGCCACGTCTGCTACGTTTTTCTGCAAACGTGGGAAAGGAGTGGCGCACGTCACTCGTACGGTTGCGCAAGGTGTGGTCTGCACGCCACGTCTGGCCGTGAGCGGTTGCGTGCATCGTTCGTTGCTCAAGTCGTGAGTTGTACGTGCGTACAACGTACGATCTCTGTGCGATTGCAACTTTACAGTAAGGAGGCCGTACTCACACGTGCTTCTTACGTACGGTACGTACGGGGCACGCGCGTCGCACGTACTCGCACGCACGGGTTGTAAATCCGCAGACCGCACGTAGAAAAAGTATTACATGCACTTAAAGTTCTACGGCGTGTCTGCGTGCTCCCAAATCCGTAGGATTCCGTACGGAGGTGGTACTCACCACGCACTGATGCCCTGCGATTGCCCACGTTTTTGCACGTAGACAGCACGCAGAAGCACGTACGGCGAGTTGTGACCGTCGCTTAAGTTTGCCCGTGTTTTTGGACGTAGCCAGCACGCAGATGCACGTACGTCGGGTTGTGACCGACGCTTTACAGATATCACTATAGTATGGAATAAGATTGACTCAACTTACTGCATCTAAAGAATAATTATTAAAAAGTCAGTTTTGCCCCTTTGTATTTGGAATTGTAAAACCTTAAAATCGCGCAGTAAACACAGGTCATATTTTTTTGCTAAAAAGAAACAGATTCTTCGGCTGGGCTGTTGTCCTGCTGTGTTTGACGTCGGCGTCAATTGTAGTTGGAATCAACACAGTGAGATGCCTACACTCCCTCGCTTATGTAAATTTAACTTTCCCAGGGGGATATTGGACTTGGTCGATGACTCACGGCTGCGTCTCACACTAATTACCGTTTTTCACTGTCGTGCCCACACAAAAGTTGGACGACAGGCGATACACCTGTGAAAACACCCCACGACGTCTATTTTCCCTAATAAGGGAAATGCCACTGGTATACGCCCACCCGCCCACCTTCCATCATGGCCAATATAAGGAACGCCCAAAGCAGCCTGTTCAGTCAGTTCCAGGCCAAGAGAGTCATTCTAACGGTTAGTAGAACACTTTTTTGTGCGGTTGGGTCTGCGCGGCTTTCCGGCGTGCGGGCGGATGGAAAGCCAGTGGTATCTTTTTGCGACTTCTCGTGTTTTAGTTACCTGGTGTATTTCTTTACGTGTTCTTTCTTTTCGCGAAGCAGTTCAACTTTGCATTAGGAAAAGGTTGAGAAGGCGTTTTACGAGTGACTGGCGCGCGCCCCGGCGATTCGAAAGTCTTGACTAATGTGCACAATCTGCGACATGCGTTGCCTGGATTGTGTCCAGTGAGTTTAATACTTTCCAAAGGTTTAGATCATCCACAGAGACAGAATGGATGGGGACTGTTCTAACGTAGGGCCCCCAGCACATTTTTTTGTAGCTCGTTCGACAATTTTTATGTCGTCGGAAGCTCTGGCAGAAATAAACTTCAAGTAGGCTGTGGCAGAACCAACCATTGGGAAGCAGTTTAGACAGCCTTCTCAGTTAAAACAGCTATAATTTGTTCTCCATACGCACGGCCGCATAAGTTTGTGATTGTGCGACGATCGTACGGCAAAGGGACCGGTCCCAAAACACACTGGTAGGAAGCATCTCTATATTGTCTCTTATTTCTAATTCTGATAACCTCGTAGACCAGACTGGTTGGAAGAAAATACGGAAGGTGAATTTGGTGGGACGGCTTGATAAAACCTTTTGATACAGCTGTGTCTTGTATAAAATAAAATGCTAGAATGTCCTCCCACGTACGAAAAAGAGTACCGACTGAAATGTAACGTATTTTGATCAAGTTTTAGGTTACGACAAAGCTTTTGTTCTTCCGATGGTCGTAACACGAACAACAAACGATGTGTAATATGATTTATCACGATGGTTAATACAATATACATTGTGATTAGCGTCCCATTTCTAAGTGCTGAAACCCTGTCCGGCAAGTCAAATTCGACTCCTCGAACTTCCGGTCTTTTCAAAGGGTGTGTAGACGCGGTACATGCTTTAGGAATGTTAGTTCGAGCTTGGGTCACATCGGTTGCAAGATCGGAAACTGAGGGCATATCTAAGCTTAAAAATCCAATTGTCTTGTTACCGGAAACGCTGTTTTAGATTCCTATCGGCGGTTACTGCTTGTTTGAAAAACTTCCAACTTAACCCCACCTACGACGGATGTGACTGTACATGTGCTGTAAAGCAAACATTTCTCTATTATCAAATTTGTCACGGGTATTCAGGAAGCACATAGTTTGTAAGGAGCCCATTCATAGCACTTATATGTGGAGGCGGTGGCTGCAAATTTGATCTGGACTGGTGGGATCATTTAACCCGAGCTGGTGACTGACTGTGCCGTCATTTAATGCTTTGGTAAAATCTAGAAAAACAGGGGGGGGGGTTGCGCACGAGCTTTCTTTTTTACGTTCGGGCGAGACTCTGATTCTGAGAACCCACCGGTGGCTGCCGGACTCATTTCGGGTACGGCTGAGCCCTAAAAATTCTAAACGGGGGGTGGGGTGTTATGTTAAAAATCAAACCGAGTGCTGGAGACAAAATACACCGTAACCTAACCGTGATGCCTGGCAGTCCACCGGGCCAATTTTTATATCACTGATCAGCGCAGCTGGACAAAAAGGAATTTTCTTACCCCGGGGTTGTGCCACTGTGGGGTAGTGCGAAGGATTTTTTAATAATGTTAACTGGGGTCTTCGTTGTAATCGAATCCGTCTTGCACCTGCGGGTTCCGATGCGAAAGCATACCTCGTTTTTTTACTTCACTGCCCCATTTACACTCAGCAGCGTGTACGCCTCCTCGACAGACTTTTACAACTGAACATTCCATTCTTAGACATTAACAACTTATCTGATAGCGCTACTGTGTACTTGTTACTCAATGGACCACCTTTAGGCCACACCGCCTTAATTTTATGGATGACATCCGAGCGCGCATTGATTTTCGCCTGTTCTAAAAAAACACGTCCTCCGAAGCTCTGGCCTGGCTCTAGGCCTGGGTAGTCCATAGTACTCTTAGTAGTTAGCGACAATACGGAGCCGGTGGTAACTCTGGAGGACGGCACCCAGACTATCAAAGCTCCACGACTCAAGAACTCAGTACATGCGTACAGTGCCGATTAACAAATTCCGTAAAAAGGCAGCATGTGCGGACTTGTCGTATACGTCGCTATGTTCTGCCGCGAATTCATAATATTGTACCAGCTTTGCATTCCTGTGGTTTAGTAGCATTTTTATTTGGGGCCGGATTTTTTTTATTCGCCCGCGCGCATTAGTTTGGGGGTCTTAAGAGGATGTCATCCATAAAATTTAGTCGGCGTGGCCTTACTTTCATCTAAAGTCAACTCTCAAATACTCACTATTAAACAGCTATACCCTTCTTAAACCAAACGATTTGTATAGATTTGCTTTCAGATTGAATAAAATGGGCGTTATTCAAGACGCCAAGAAATACATGACTGCAGTGCAGTGCCTCCCACTAACCTAAGACCATTAGTGGAGCTCATGATGAAAACAAAACATGTAGAAAAAATGTTGGGATTTAAAAGGTTGCTGCTCGCCAAAGCCTAGCGACCAATCTCCCTCAATGCCCTTATTTACGATAGCAGCTATGGTACCGGTGTTGCATTTCCAAAAACATCTTCTGGGAGTTTGAATTACGAGGTCACTAAACGTGGGAAAAATCAAGGTCTATATCAGAGCCTTATAGAGGTACGTACGTTCAAGTGGTATTTACATTTGAAGCCTGTGTACTCTTGGGCTTTAACTTGCAAATGCTGGAATCTGACGCGACCCCACATTTCTCGGAAAACGTAAAAAAATGCAAATCGGTGGCACGCGCCAGGCGGTCTTGTGGTTAGGTGTTCTTGACTTAGAATCTAATTCTAAAGTTTCTAGGCTCGAATCCCTAGCGGGCCCCAATGCTGGGGTCTTGCTATAGTATATTGGGAAAGGGCACTCAAGCACATTTAAGTACCAATCAAATTTATCGAAAAGAGTAGGGGTCCATCCCAGGGTGTGAGTGAATCAAACCGGTCTTGCCAAGCAGGTGCTTACTGTACAAAAGTGGGCGCCGTATGCATTTAGCGACAAGTGTCCATAAGGCAAAGTAAATATCGACCGGTTCAGTATTACCATTATCATTAGCTGTTGTTAGTGTTGCTATACGCAGGTAACGGTATCCATGGCAGAATCATACCGTTGAAACCCCTAAACTTTGCCGAAGAGGTATTTTGTAACAGGAAATGAAAAGCTTTCTAATCCCTCATGTGTGATATACAGCTTGTCCTAGATCCTTCAGCTTTTGATGATTAGGCCATGTGGATTTGATTATATGGTTGACATCCTCCGGGAACCCCAAAACTGACGCGAGCGTGGGAATAAAAAAAGTTTGGAAATAAACTTTCATTGATTATGAAATCTACGTAGTCAAAAAGGTGGAACAAATGACTAAACACGCAGGGTATGGTATGGGGAATAACAATAGACTCTTCATTTCTTCACATTTTCTTCTTTTCCTGAATTGATTTCTGCATTCTATAACATTAGTATCGTTTTTCAATCCTTCTTGTTGCAACATAAACATATATTCACTAATTTTGTACGATTTACAGTATGGTCGGAAACTTTTTTTGAAAACGGACGAAAATTCATGCGAGCGCGGATGCCATCCATATAATCAAATCAACATGGCCTAATTGTACAGACTTGGATCCGATACAACCAGCTTTGTCAACAAAGACTTCAATCAGGACACTGTTAAGGGTGGTTTTCAATTACAAATTTATTTATTTATCTATTCATTAATTTACCACAATTGTGGAAGGATTAGCATAACAGGTGACTATACTCTTCAAGATGCCAAACTTGAGACCAGGTTGCAATGTTGGAACTACTTGTTGGAATGTCTTTTCTTCGTCGTACTTTTCATGTCAGATCGAGGAAGTGCTTGTCACATCGAAAACGGCAATTAAACAACAGTAATGTGTTTAGTTGCATGTAGATAATGTTTCCATTTTGATGTAGTGTATTTGTACGATGTAATATGTTACTCCAGGAATACTAGCTGCATACCTGATTTTGTACTTGTATGTATACTAATGGAGGAGTAATAAAGCACCGAAGAAAACTTTAGCGTTCTGATGCCAGACATCATTCTTTTTGAATGACGCCAAAGAAATAAAATGAATGAATGAATGAAGACCTTTATTGCACATTTCTGCCACACTTGGCTAAGTACAGGTCACAACAAAACAAGATGAATGAACACGGTTAACAGATACAAAATTAACTAACTATCGTTATATAAATCAAAATAAAAGTCGAATGTGGTGTGCCTTTCACTGACTTAAAGACCATTAGTAAGCAGAAAATGTGGACAAAAATAAATTGGATTTAAAGGTTGCTGCCCTTCAAAGCCTTGCAATTAATGTATTCTCGATAACCAATGCATTATATTTCCATGAACGTCCTTTGATGCTACTGATTGACGTAGTAGTTTGTACAAGGGATAGTTAGACTTACTTAGTGTTTATCTATATATATATATCAACAGATGAAATGTGCGACTGTAAGGCTTTAGCTCAAGTAGGCGTTAGATCTGACACAGTCGCACATTTCTCGGAAAGTGTGAGGTAATCTACCACATCTGGGCCACGCCGCCACGCACCAGGCGGTCTTGTGATTAGGGTTAGGATTGAAGACTACTCTCCAGGTAGAGGTTGGTGGGGAAGATTGTGGTCTTTCTAAGATGCCCAGTTTTTCCCCTGTTGCTACTACAGGTGAAGATTTTATTCATGATATGAAAATTTACCACATTTGTGTAATGATTCAATATGTCAAACCTGAGACCAGACTGTAAGGTTTGAACCACTCACACCGGGAAGGTCCCCTACTCTTTTTCGATAAGTGAGGTGGGTTCTTTAACGTGCGTGGGGTGTGGCTCTCCCAAACTCGGGACCTCCATTTAACGTCCTATCCGAGGGACGTCCCTAACCGAAGCTCATTTACATCAGAGG